GGAGGAACTCCAGGTGGGGTCCTAATTTAGCTGGCCGGCGACTGCCAGAGGTGCCGCGCACGTCGGGATGCTCCGGCAGTCGCTGGCCAGCTAAATTAGGACCCCACCTGGAGCTCCTCCCACCAGACCGCTTGCCTTGCGGTAGCGCCGGGCCTGACTGCAGCCACTTTTGTATGGCAAGCCTTAGTCCCGCAGCTCACTATTTTCTTTTTTTTAAAAAAAGGTCCATGATGCGTGCATCGAAGACAAACTTCACCCCTTTGAACACGATTTCCTGAACTGGGAGGAGACAGGGGGCCCCTGTGAGGGTCACAGAATCTCCTCCCCAACGTCAGGAAAGGGCCCCGAAGGTAACCTCACCCTCAGTCTTCTGTGAAGGTCAATTCCAATCAAAAAGTGCTCAATCGTGCATAAATAATAAGTGCCAGTGCACCATGCTGAGAGACCTTTAGGGGCCAGAGTGCAAAAATATTGCCCCGGGCTAGCCATAAGGCCTGCCCTAGAGGCGGTGTGCAGAAAAAAGCAAGTAGGTGCCGTGACCTTGTGTCAAAGAAAATCACTTGTGGGGTCCCACACCCTAGTGATTTTCTGGCACCCCTGGGAGCACCCCCCTGGGGACACAGCACCACAGGCCCCTGCCGCCCCCCGAACCCTCCAGCCAGACCAGGCAAGCACCCGTCCACATCAGAAGGCCGTATACCGAGAGAGAGTCCACCCCTCTCACAAGGAGTCTCCTCAGCACGAGCCTTCACTCCAGCGAGTACTAAGTAACTATCCCCCCCCCGAAAGGACGGTTTCTTTTCCCCACCGAAAACTGATAACAGATTTTTTTTTTTAAGCCCGTGGAACATGCGTCTAAACAAACTTCCCCCTGTGAACAAAAAAAGTGCATCCGTGAAATCACAGCACACAAAAACGTGCACAAGGGTGCAAGGTCCTTCCAAAGAAGGGACCTACTTCCCGACCCCCCGGGGCGCAAGGCTCCTGACAGGGGTTGAGACTGTTGGCCCACCAACCCGAAGGCCGGTGGACCCATTTCCTTCGGGGACCTGCCGAAACAGGTCTCACACAGTACTAGGCAGGGGGGATCTCCCAAAGAGAAACCCCCCTCCTGGGTGGGAGGAGACAGAGAACCCCGTAGGAGGCACAGAATCTCCTCCCAGCATCAGGAATAGGCCCCGAAGAAACCTGCACCTTCAGCATCTGTGGGTCAAAAAGCTTTTTAAAAAAAAGCCAATCGTGCAAATCATGCATAGAGTGCATAAATAATACTAACGTGCCGGTGCACCACGCTGACAGGCCTTAGGGGCCGAGTGCAAAAAAATTGCCCCGGACTAGCCATAAGGCCTGCCCTAGAGGCGTTGTGCAGAAAATAGCAATGTGGTGTGTGACCGAGTGATCAAGTGAGTCAATGTGGGTTCCCACACCCAAGTGACTACCTGAGCACCCCTGGGACGTCACCCCCAGGGGGCACAACACCACGGGCTTCAGCCGCCCCCAACCCTCCAGCCAGACCAAGCTTCGTATCCATTCGTCTCAGGAGGCAGGGCACCTTCAGAGATCCCTCCGCCGGAGCCCACCCATCACAAGGGTCGAAAAGCTCCGATGGCCTGGAACATATCCAGCACCCCACCAATTACGCCAGGAAATACTAAGCTGCCATCTACCCACACTCCAAAGGTGACGGCCGCTGTTCTTTCCCGACAACTGATAAGAACAGATATTACACTTGTTCTTAGCCAAAAGGCCCGCAGCTCACTATTAGTGCAGCAGTAGGTACAGGGTGCAGCCGAGCACTGACTTGAGGAATGAGCTTGGTATCAGCATAGCAGAGAATACTGGGTGGGTTGGATAGCAACTTGGGGCATTTAGGCAGCCAACTAGGCACATGTGTGAACACATATGAGTACAATTGTTAGCCTGAAGCAGTTTAAAGGTGTGGAATAAATGGCTCTGTATTAGGCTATATTTGCATTATGCACCAGTGTTGCATTCTGGGGCATAAAGGAACGATTTGTATGGTGTGACCCCCCCCCCCAATGAAGGGGAACGCCTGTTCTAAGAAGGCTTTATCGTGATATTACTGTTTGTAGAAAACATTCTTAGTAAACCACACCCCACCAGACCTGGTAGAATCCATTAATGGAAGATCCAGACATATCTGCTTTTTCCCCCCCTCGCTGCAACTGTATTTCACACAGTTTTTCAATATTAACCAATATGTCAAACTTTCCACCTTGATGCTACAAGCTTTTATATACTGAAGCCAGGCCGGGAACATTCAGGGGTTACAGAGACAAGGCAGAAACATTAAAAAAAATTATATAAATAAATATAAAAAACACAGCAAACCAACACACTTTATATATTTATAGAAATTCTAATGTATATTAAAAACAAATGACGGCGTCCCTTTAAAAACAGTTATATTTGAAGCCGAGTTTAGAGAGAAGTGCGCTATACAGATAAGCCCAGAATCCCTTTATCTCCCTCCTTACAGCCATCTATAGCACAGGAAACATTTTGTTTGTACTGAATTCTAACTGTATACACCGTCAGGCTAGGCTCACATCTGGGCGACTCCTGACCGCGCGGCAATCGTGCACAAAACCGGGATGATTGCCGCACGGTCACGGAGTTACCCACCGCAGGCGATCGCGCTGTGGGTGCCATTATTTTCTAATGGCACCCCAGTCACGTCAGGCGGATTCCGCATGTGCAAGTAAACACAATCGGGGCTAAAAAAGCTGTGTCACAAAAAAAAAAAAAAAAAGTACATGTACCTTTTTTTCCATAAGCAATTGCTGCACGGATGCCACCCCTTTGAAATCAATGGGCCCTGCAGCAACCGCTGAGTGCACCAGCGCACGGCCGCGTGTCCTGGGTGTCGTGCAGGTGTGAACCTAGCCTCAGAATTTGGTAGGTGCAAACCAAAATCGGCTTCGGAAAGTTCGCTCAGCTTTCTAATCATTGATGGGGTCAAATCCATCATCAATTTTGACCGCAGAAAAATAAGTCGAAGGAGTATGCTGGAATTTCTCGATTAAATGAAATTCTAACAATTGCGTTTTTTTGTTCGGAAAGCTCCATTCATTCCAAAATCGAATGTTAAATCAAAACGAAAATCAAACGATTTCAAAGGACATTCGTCAAGTGTCTGATGGCATTATCGAACATACGAACGTTCGAAAATCTAGCAGTGTATACCCCACTTTATACTACAAAGTCAACTTGTACAAGAGTGGAAAGTTCACCAAACAATGTTAATTTTTAGCCAATGAATTAATTGGTGCGCGACTCGGCCGATGAAGTGATTAGCAGTAAAAAGCAACCCTTGCACTGTGCGCTCACTGGACAGGACATCACGCCAAAAAGGGAGCAAATGTTTTTCCGTTACTCACTTATTGCTTATGAGACAGATCTTACCTGTGTGTGTAATGCTACCTACTAAATATACAATCTTAATGTCTATGTTCAGCCAAAACATTTAGTGCAGACATAAGTTGAATGGACACCAAACCAAATGGGTGAAAAAGTCTAAAGAATCTTTCATTCGATCACACAGAAAAAAAAAAAAAACACAACATGTTTCAGGGGCAACATCATAGCCCCCTTTCATCAAGGCTGTTTGTACAGAAAAAGAAGGTTGCTGATACACAAAGAACGGATTTGATACATTCGATACAATGTAATGTCCAGCAGACATTCGTTAGAGGGATCTGGAAGTTAGCGTCACTTCCAAATCCTTCTAGTAAACGTCAACTAGACGCTACATTGTTTTGAATGCATGTGCATCATTGACAGTGGCATCGCAAGGGGGGGTGCAGCCCGCATCCGGGTGCCACCAAAGTGACTGACAGTCATTTTGGTGTCACCCCCTATGAACAATTGGGCACTTGGTCACGGACCGAGAGCCCGACAGTGTCAGGAGATAGGAGAGGACGCGGCGGCATACCTCATCCCGCCGTGTGAACGTCCATCCATCCTCTCTCTGCCGGCATCCATCACCAAGATGGCTGCCGGCAGGCGTCAATAAGACGACTGCACATGCGCAATGACGTCACGGCGGGGTGTCACCCGGTCTCCGCTCCGGTTGTCACCCAGCCTTGGGACGCCCCTGATCATTGACCTTCTCAATCTATACAAACAGCCCTCATTAAGGGAGAGTGTCGTTGACCCCGAAAAGTGTTGGATGGTTTTCACTGCAAATAAATGCAATCCTGAATTTGGGTGCGCTCACCTGATGTCTGTAGTTGTACCAGCCATTGGAGCCGGCCACCAGGACCACCCAGTGCTTCCCTGAATCTTCTGGGTCACCGATTGGAATGGATGTGGCCAGGGCAGCGAGGCCGAGGATTAGCGTCAATGGAAGCATCTTGGATTAAGTAAAAAGACCCTGAAGAGACAACAAGATTAGTTATTACACACAAGGGGCATTAGAGGCACCTCCCCAGTTATAGGTTCCAGTCCACAGACTGAGTCTACAACACCCACAGGAGTCCATGCATGTGCACGAAGAGTGTCATTGAATATTAACAGCAAGTAACGCATTACTAAATATTAACCAATATCCAGTATTCTAACGGCCTAGAACAAGACTGTTACGCAAGACATTCCCCATGAAGACTTCAGTTTCAGGTTTACTTCTGTCAAGTACCGATATTTTGTTTTTGGTACTCGCTGATCCGGTATTGTATTCCGCAAATCCCATTAAGAAAGCCGGGTGGCGTGAAATGACTCGCCGCCGCGGCTTCCTGACTAGCCGGGAAGCTGTCTCCATGCGCCCTCGTCACCAAGTGCCAAGGAAGCATGGAGCCGGCTTTCTGGCCAATCAGGAAGCCTGGCGGCGAGTCATTACACACCGCCCAGTTTCTTGATAGGCTGGGAAGCTGGCTCCATGCTCCCTCATCACCAAGTGAAAAGGGGGCATGAAGCCGGCTTCCTGGCCAATCAGGAAGGCGGGTGGTGAGACATTACCCGGCCCACAGCTTCCCGATTGGGCGGGAAGCCAGGCCCATGCTCCCTGGTGACGAGGGAAAATGGAGCCGGCTTCCCGGCCAATCAGGAAGCCGGGCGGCGTGTATTGCTTCGCCGCCCAGCTTACCGATACCTGAAGTTCTGGTATTGGGAGCATTTGGGCAAGTATGAGTACTCACCCCAATACTCGGTATAGGCATTAATATTAGTATCGGTATATCCCCAAGATAAACCAAACCTTTCATACACTGTATGGCCGAAAGCTTGTGGACACCTGAACATCATACGTATGCGAGCTTGTTGGACTTCCCATTCCAAAACTTTGGCCATTAATATGAAGCTGGACCCCATGGCCATTTATACAGCTGACTTGGAGGGGAATTAGATTGGTTTCCCTAACATATCTGAAGTTACTTTCAAAAATGATTTCTACCCCAGTCATACACTGCTCGGCCGAAGGTTTTATAGAACACTGGACAAAGGTTTGTAGACCACCGACCATGACACCTATATGAACTTGTTGGGACATCACCTTCCAAAATCATGGCCATTAAAAAGGAGAACTATGGGGTTAAGTCTTTTTCCCCATAGTTCTCCTTAGGGTAACGGGAGGACACAAACTAGCGTCCTCCCGTCACCCAAAGCTCAGTATACCGCGAGCTACAGCTCCCTATATACTGAGACGCCGCAGCCGGAACGGATCCCGACAATTATGTTTGGATCCACCCAGCTGCGTGACTGACAGCTGGCTCTGCCTATCTAGAGGCAGAGCCAGCTGTACCCGCCCCCTCCCCCGACCGTTCCGCCAGTCAGCGCTGGCGGATCGGAGGGGGGAATCCAGCCCCTCCCCTGTCACGGCAGAGAGCCGTGACAGGATCGAGAGGTGAGCGAACGCCGGTATCTGTTCGCTCACTTCCCGATCCGACCTGTGACAGTCTCATTGTCACAGGTCGGCTAGTACCTTTAAAGGGGTTTTGGATCCCTCACTTGAGAAGCTACAAACAGCCTGCACCCATCTGGGAAGACTTTCCACTTCACTTTGGAGAGTATCAGCGGGAACTTGTGCCCAGGTGCTGATGTGGGATGAGAAGACCTGGCTCACAATCTGCGTTCAAATTCACGCCAAATGTATATGGCCCATTCCGCTGCCAATGCTGGATAATGGAGAGCATGATCATTCGGG